TTGGTGAATGTCACAAATTCTCCTAAATCACTCGTACGCACAACTTAAGAACAAATCTGTGCGTACGAACGGTTCTTACATGAGGCCCATTGTTCTTTATAAAATCTACTTCAACATTCTTCTGCTGACCSTTTTCGTGGSTTTCTTGTCAGTGTCTCACTGTTGTTCCCTCGGCTCCTCACACCTGTGTGTCATCAGTTAATCAGCTCATTTGGTTTTCTTCCTATAATCACCTCAGTGTTTAAACTCCTTCCACCTCTTGTGTTCCACCATGCACCTCTGTTGCTACCTGGACTCCTCTCTTCATGTCGGCCTTCTGGGTCGACTCACCGATCCAGTAAACAAAATGAAATGTCCATACAAATAAAAACAATTGAAGAGGGGTTATTGATACTTTATGAATGAAACAAAAAGGATTGTTCAGGCTCACATCCAGGTTTCAAGACCTTCATATTTTACTGAGTAAAAGAGAGGGGAAAAAATCATGTTAAAGTTTTTTTCAAATGCAGTTTAAATGTTTTGTCTCGCAGCCCGTACACAATGGGACTGATAAACCTGGGGAGAATGTCAACAATGATGTACCAAGCAAAGTGGAAATGACTAGAATACGTAGGGAAAGTGCGTAACACAACGGATTTGACCAAAGGGTTTAAATATGTCAGCATACACAGCAGGAGCTGAAAGCCGTGAAGCAGGATGGTGTTTCTGGCCTTTTTTGTTTTTCCATCAGATGAATTAGCTGCTTTAGCAGCAAAGAAGATCTTGAAGTAYGTAAAGAAAAGTGTGAACCAAACTACCGTTAAATAAATTGTATAAGTTATTTCCCTCATTTGAGAACTTATTGGGTGTTGGAACATATTTTCCGTCATGCAAAGCACTGTGGAATGAAAAAACTCCAGAGGTTTTGTTGACAGTAGAACAACAGTTTGAAACAAAACTGTAAATGAGCTGAAAACCCAAATCCAGACGATCAGAATATAAGTCCGTRTSACGGTGCAGAGCTCAGCGTGTCTCAGAGGGAAGCACACAGCGATGTAGCACTCCACAGCCATCACTGCTAAATTTAACGGTGTGTTCAGACTGGTGAAAACAGACGCAATCATAAAAATCAAACAGAGGGAAACATTAATRTTATAGAAGATGTAAACAATGATAAACAGACTGATTGATGTTGTCAGCAGGATCATATCGTTCACAACAAGATGGATGAACAGGATGTAGCGAGGGTTCATGTACAAAACCTGAAAATATAAAAAATTACTTTACATGCTTTTATTTTTATCCTTTAAAATTAGTCCAATAAAACCAATCGCTCTTATACACTGATCTCTTAATAACCAAATAATGTCAACAAATGCTGACCTGGTGTTTCCTGAAGGTGACAATCAACGTGGCGTTGATGTAGTTGATGCTGAAGCCGAGCACGAGGACGATCACATGTTTGGCTGCAGTTAAGCCCATGCCTTCTAGATTAATCAGACTGATCGTCACACTGGTGTTATTAGATGAGGAGTTCATGGAGCTGATGGAAAGTGCTGTTCTGTAAAAAAAAAAAAAAGAAAAAGATTATTAACCTAAGATGTTTGTAACACATTTAGATTGTAATGTTTGTTCTTAGCTGACAAAGTAACTTTTTATCCATCCATCCATCCATCCATCCATCCATCCATCCATCCATCCATCCATCCATCCATCCATCCATCCA